GTCGCGGAGCGCTCCACCTCCTCTGTCCGAGGCTGGTGTGAGGTGAGGCGGACAGAGCTCAGCCGAGGCTGCTGGAGCTCCAGGTCCTGAACAGAGCCAACATGAGTCAGTCCCAGACTGAGCTGACTTGATGAAGTCTCTCTCTGCCTCTGGTGAGGAGGGGGGTGAAAAATCCTCCACTTCAGACCGTTCAGAGATGTAACTACGTATCTGCGATAATGTGGTCACTCTCCATGTAGCATCAATTATGCTAATGCTAGCTGCCTGTCGCGTTCTCTCYTCCTGGCCACACCTCCGCTCTCTAACCCACCCTCCCCTACCCACTTTGATGCATTTTTCAAATTTCGCCTTGGGGTGGAGTTATCTTTTCACAGGGAGGGTAAGATACACTTTCAGTGTAAACAACTAGGTTAAATAATTTTAATTTAATCAGAAGAGCCACAGCCCGGACCGATGTGCCAGCCCCCKACTGTTGCAAGTGGTGTCAGGTGTGGTTCAAGAAAGCATTTTAAAATGTCTCCAAAATATGTCTGGCACTTTGGAGAAAATAGCAGACAGTGCATGCATTGCTGATGTGCTGAATAGATCTGAACAAAATAAAATTTGATTAAACAAATAACTTAATCTAGGTCTGAATAAAGCTGCTATGTTCACTTCCCGTTGATCTCTTTATACACCGAGACAAATCAAACTTCAATTAATGCTTAATTTAAGTTGGTTTGTAGTTTGAGAGTGCGAAACCAGTGGCTAAAAACACCGCTGTTGACAATGTTGATGATAGCAGGGCAATTGTAGCTAACGTGAGCACTGCTAACAAAGAAGGATGCGGAGCCACACCACCCAAGCAGCTAAAGGTGGAGTTTTTTGCTCCAGCTTCACAGAAACTTATGACGCAGAATGAACTATACAGGATGATAGGCAGGTATGTTGTTGAAAACATGCTCCCATTATCAACAGTTGACTCAGACTCCTTCGGAGCCCTTATTAGCAAAACACCAGGAAGAGCAGGCGCTGGTCCTCCATGCAGAAAGACATTTTCTAAATACATAGATGCCGAGTATGCTAAAATGAATGTCGAGCTGAAGATTGGATTTGAAGAATTAGAATATATCTACACTACTGCAGACATTTGGACTGCACATAATAAAAGTTATCTTGGCGTAACTGCCAATTGGATACATCCACAAAGCATGGAACGAATAAAAGCAGCCCTGGCATGCAGATGATTCAAAGGTCGTCATGCGTATGACAGTATTGCAACTGAGCTTGACAACATTCACTCATTCTATGGGCTATCCCACAAAATAATATCAACTGTCATAGATAATGGCTCTAATTTTGTCAAAGCCTTTTAAAAGTACCAGCCTGTGGAGGATGATGAAGATGAGGTGACAGTTGTGTGAAGGAGTTTGGTGACGAGACAGACCCAGGGCGCAGGCAGTTTTCAAAATATAACAAAAAGATTTTTTTAAGTAACAAAAAGAGGGCTGATTGCAGCAAACTTACTAGAAAAACGAGGATCACAGGCAGGGGGAACAGAACACACACAGAACACTATAACAAACAATGATCCGACACAAGACTGAGACAGGACAGGGTTTAAATACACAGAAGACTAATGACTGAAACACAAAACACCTGAGGAGAAACACAAGGGTGACAATCAAGGTAAATGTGGGGCAGCTGGGCAAAGACACACTGGGGAACATAGAAAACACTAGGAAAACTAAGGAAAATAAATACAGACTATGACAGTACCCCCCACTTAACGACGGCTCCCGACGTCGAAAAGGGAGAGGCACAGGACACGAGGGACACAAACACGAAACAGGGGAACTCAGGACAAAAAACAAAGTCCACGGGGGCGTCCGGAAAACTGTCCGGCTAGTGCACCCGCCACCGCACGAGGCCCAGCAGGAAGCGTAGCAGAGCCAATATCACAGGAGGAGGCGGAAGCAGACGTGGAACCGAGGGAGGAGGCGGGAGCAGACGTGGAACCGAGGGAGGAGGCGGGAGCAGACGTGGAACCGAGGGAGGAGGCGGGAGCAGACGTGGAACCGAGGGAGGAGGCGGGAGCAGACGGGGAACCGAGGGAGGAGGCGGGAGCAGACGG